TTAATGTGCTCATTAACGTCATGAGAGGAGAAATAGCTCAGAGGACAGAAAAGGATGCTGGAGGGGGGGAAATCGAGGTGAGCGGGTCCCTGAAGAGCAAAGGAACGTCACCGAGGAGGAATTGAGGAATTCAGGCTGAAGCCTGCGGGTGGAAATGTGCCACCCCCTCCTCTGCCTTCCCCCCCTGCCTGGAGGGCGAGGAGGAGGAAGAGGAGGGTGAAGAGATAACCTGGGCGAAGGCTGAGGCAGGATCCAGCCGTGGGTGAGGCCAACGGGGATGAAATCACTCTGGGGCACCCAAGGCGAGATGGCCGTGAGCAGCAGCAGGCTCCGGAATGGAAAGAAAATCAAAATAGGGAAAGAAAATCAAAATAGGGAAAGAAAACAAAAATCCCGGTTATTTTAACCACTCCTGCCAACAACCTGCCCGCTCCTGCCCATTAATAAATAAATATTTATTTATTAATTAATTCCTGGAGGTGACAAGCCCGGAGCCAGCACCCAGCTGCACCCTGGCGTGAGGAAGGGCCAGGTCCCTCCTCTCCCTCTCCCTGGCACCGATGCCCTTTCCTGGCTGTGCCAGCTGTACCGCAGCTGGTCCCAGTCCCCCGGGGCGGGGACGGACACGTCCCACGTGGCGGTGGTGGTGGCACTGTCCCCTCCTGTCCCCACGACCGCAGGCCAGAGGTAGGTGGGCAGCGGGGGATGCTCCAACCCTTGGGCTTTCCCCTCCCCTCCTCCTCTTTTTAATATTTTATAATAATACCTCAGAAAGAGCTGTAAATCCCTCTGCCGGTGTGCGGGTCCCTGTCCCCCCTCTCGCGGGGACCAGCTCAGACCTCGCCACGTCACGGACAAGACTTGGAGCATCCGCAGCATTATTGGGGATTAAAGGTGGCATCCATCCGCCAGAAGGACACGTCCTCTGCTCCCGTCTCGCCGCCGGCGGGTGGGCACAGGAGGTGGGAGCCCGAACCCCCTCCCCGGGTGATGGGGAGTGGGGACAGGGTGTGCCCAGCGCCTTTCCATGGAGCCCCGGCTGGTTGCAGGGCTCCCGGGGGGATTTGGGGGCAGAGGTCCCCCTGCCAAAGCCCGGCTTAGGCGCGGGGCTGCCAATTCCCCGCTGGAGCAAAGGGAGACAGGAGCCTTTCCAATGACATTGTCCGGCCAAAGGCGCCGTCCGAGGGTATGGCTGGGCTTTTTCCTCACCCTGCACGTCCCTGTCTGTGTTTGATAACTCTCTCCCCAGATGCTGAGAGCTTTGGCGCTTCCATGCCCTGGCCAGGTAAGTCCTTGCAGGTGCTGGTGGGGGCGGGCAGAAGGGACAATCTCCTTCCTCATCCCACCCAGGGATGATGATGGGGAGGGGAGGGGACAGGAGAGGGGGAGAAGAGGCTCCACACCTCCAATAATCTGGAAAAACCTTGGGGATGTGTCACAGACATCTTTTATGGGGATTTTTCCTCCTGAGAAGCTGAAAGGCCTCAGGAACAAAAGTAAACAATGATTATCTGCTGCTGTGGAATGCAGCAGGTGGATCTGTGATTGATCTCATGTGGTTGTTTCTAATTAATGGCCAATCACAGTCAGCTGGCTTGGACTCTGTCCTTGTTATTCATCCCTTCCTATTCTATTCTTAGCTAGCCTTCTGATGAAATCCTTTATTCTATTCTTTTAGTACAGTTTTAATATAATATATATATCATAAAATAATAAATCAGCCTTCTGAAACATGGAGTCAGATCCTCATCTCTTCCCTCATCCTTGGCCCCCTGTGAACACCATCACAGGGATGGAGATTGTTCATACAGGGTGGTCACAGGAGGAGGAGGAGGATTGCAGGGAGGAAGGTTTGACTGGGTGCAGAGAGCCTGGTGGAAGCCACAGCCCTGACTCGCTGGGATGTGATGGGTAAAACACCAGCTCTCCCTCCAAATGACCTTTCTCTTTCACCGTCGCTCTGCCTCGCGTGGTTTTTTTGTTATTATTATGATTTTCCACGGGCAGGGATTTCCGCTGAAGGATATTAGTTAATCAGATTCTGAGAAGCAGATGTTGGGTGATTTAGGAGGAAAAAAAGAGGCAACTTTCTAGTTCAAGCCTCGGCTGGAGCGGGGTGCAAAGCTCAGGGAGGATGTTTTGTGGCTTTGGGATGCACTGTTAATTTTGGTCTTAATTAAAAACGAGACAGATAAGGTGGTTTGGGGTCAGGTGGGGCACCTCCCTCCAGACATCAGCATGCCCTGGGGATTTAAGGTAAGGAAAGGAACCTCAGAGCCCTGAATCCCATGGGAAACTGTTCCAAGGACTTGAAATGGAGTTCATTGCTCTGGGAATTTCATGGTCAGCTTTGTTCCACTGCCAAGAGAAGTCCCTGTCCCTGTGGTCCCCTCTGGGTCTTCCCCCTGGCTGGAGGTGTGGTGGGCCAGGTCAGCTCACCCTGCCACTGAACACTGAACTCTGATTCAAACTTTATTTTATTCTGATTTAAAAATCAGCTTGGGATTTATAATAAGAAAAAACAAGTAGGCAAGAAGGGAACGATGTGTGCTGCTTTTCTTCTTTCCTTTAACATTTATTTTTCCCTTGAAAGTGCTTTATCTGGGCCAGGTTTGTTGCAGTATCCCTCTGTAGGCCTCCTGATGCTCCTGAAATCAGGGTTATCCTCACCTCTGATGCCACAAATCATCCTGCCAGCACCAGCTTCTCACAAAGCCCCCAAATATTCCAGCCTGGGATGACTCCAGCCCCATGGAGAGCAGCTGCACCTTGGGCATGTCCAGCTGGGGCTGGAGGAGGACTCAGGTTTGGAGTCCTTGAGGCTCCCCAGCTTTGCCTGAGGTTACTTTGAGGACACAACCACGCTGCTGCTGCTGCTGCAGACATCAGTTCTGTCCCTTGCCCCAACCACTCCTCTCTACACGTCCCCAAGAGGGAAATTCGGCACAGAGCCAGCCTGCAGCAGCTCCTCAGGGCTGGATTTCTAAGAGCAGCCAAGCTTTGTGGGTTTAGCTCAAGCAAAGAGACCTGGTCTGTAAATAGCTTATGATAAATTGTAGGATTTGTCCCCAAATCCAGAATCTCCTACTGAGGAGAGGTTGACCCATGGATGCTGGGTCCTGCATGAGCCTCTGCTCTCGGGGCTGTAAAAGTGAGAGGAGGAGAGGGAGGATTTGGGCAAATCAGGCTCTTCATGCCCATTTCTGCAATAGATTGGGGGGATTTTGGCTTGTCCTACCCCAGCTGTATGTCAGCTTATGATAAATTGTAGGATTTGTCCCCAAATCCAGAATCTCTCCTACTGAGGAGAGAGCGAGGTTGACCCATGGATGCTGGGTCCTGCATGAGCCTCTGCTCTCGGGGCTGTAAAAGTGAGAGGAGGAGAGGGAGGATTTGGGCAAATCAGGCTCTTCATGCCCATTTCTGCAACAGATTGGGGGGACATTGGCCTGTCCTACCCCAGCTGTGTGTCAGCAAGGATGGACCCTCAGTTTCTGGGGAGGAAAAACCTTCAGCACCCTAAACCAGCTTGGGGAGCAGCTTGGGGAGCAGCTCAGGCCCCATGGGGGAATCAGTTCCTGCCCAGCTCTGGGAAGCAAACCCCACCCCAGATGTGTGTCAGCAAGGATGGATCCTCAGCTTCTGGGCAGGCAAAACCTCCAGCACCGCAAATCAGTGAAACAGGGAGCTCGAGGCACAGGGAGCAGCTCAGGCTCCATAGGGGGATGAGATCCTGCCCAGCCCTGGAAGCAAACCCAGCACTGGGAACCATCCTCATCACAGGACCAGCCCTGGCACCACTGCTGCTGCTCCGTGGCCTAAATTGTGTTGCTATTCCTGGCAGTTGAGGGCATTTGGGTTTTTTGTGTCCCTCTCACTGGCTGGGTAAGAAAGCCAGAGTGCCCTTGGTGAGCAGCGGTCACGCAGAGCAGCTCCACGTGTCCCCCTGTGGTGCCTCATGTCTGGGAAATACATTTGGAGGGGAAATAAATCAGGGCACTGAATTTACTTAGAAAGTTCATTCTGGGGAAAATCTCCACAGAACTGCTCCCTGTTAACACCTAATTTCTCTCTGTGCTTCTCCCTGAGGCAGGACAGGTAATTTCCCAGCTCCATAACTTGGCCTGGTCCCTGGGCTCCTCTTTGACTTTGCTGAGCTCAGAATCATGTTGGTGTGGGGGGAGATGTGTGCCCAGGAATATTTGGGGATGTGGGGACTGTCTCTGAGTGCTTCTCAGAGCTGGGCTGGGAAATAATCCACCCCATGGCCTGAAAGGTGCTCTCCAAGGGATCGAAAAGCTTAGTCCTGAGCTTTTTCCTGGGGCTGGGAATATCAGGTCTGCTGTGGAGGAGGGCTAGGAGAGCTCTGAGGGATGTCACCCCATCCTGTGCCTGCCCCAAGGCCAGGGGTCCTGTTCCCACCCCTCTTCCCAGACCAAAGGGGTTCTCCAAGACTGGTGGACATTTGTCCTGCTGGCCTGCTCCCCCCCGGGCTGCATTCCCCAAATTTCAGTGTGGTTCCTGCTTTGGGAATTGTTTCCAAACAATGCTTGACCCATCTGCAACATGCCCAGGAGCTTCTGGGGTTTGACCCAATGCTTCTCCCACCTGGATCAAGGGCTGCTCTTAGCTTGGGACAGCCGTGTTTAAAACCTCCAAATCCTGCTCTGAGCTTTGGATCCGCACCTGGAAATGGATGAAAGGACCCCTTGCTGTGGGATCACTGGGGAGAGGCTGGGTGGGACACCTGGATTCACCCCCATCCTCTGCTGCTGCCTGACCTTCCATCCTTGGGTTCTGTAGGTGGTTTGGGGAGGTTTAACAATGGCAAAGCCGTGCCAAAAGGGTGTGCAGGATCCAAAAATGAGCGACTTGCTGGAAGCCATGCTACTCAACAGCATTAATGCTTCCATTAAAAACCAGAACAGGGTGGTGTGGTCTCTCAGGGTTTGTTTAGCCCTGCTCATGCACAGTTCAGCTCTGTGTCCTGTCCCTTGCAGATCCTCCTAGCGTGGGACAGGCGTGGGCAGCCGGCGTCGGCCGTGGGGGTTTCTGCTGCTGAGCTGACTAGCGTATGATGGACGTGGCCAGTTGGAAGGAGATGGAGGTGGCACTAGTCAGTTTTGACAACGCTGATCAGATCGTGGAGGACCCCTGCTACTCCAACGACCTCAGCCCTGCCGGGCAGTCGCGCAAGGGCCACCCCAGCTGCGCCAACCTGCTGTCCAACCTGCGCATCCTCATCAACAGCGAGAACGCCAACAATGAGACCATCTTCTCCAGGTTCTCCGCCGAGTTCAGCGACCACCTGGTGGGGGAGAGGGTGGGCATGGATGAGGGGGACCAACGAGTCATCATCAACATCGCTGGGCTGAGGTTTGAGACACGGCTGAAGACACTGGACCAGTTCCCCGAGACCTTGCTCGGGGACCCGGAAAAGAGGATGCGTTACTTCGACTCCATGAGGAATGAATATTTCTTTGACAGGAACAGGCCCAGTTTTGATGGGATCCTGTACTATTACCAGTCTGGGGGGAAAATACGGCGCCCGGCCAACGTCCCCATTGACGTCTTTGCTGATGAAATCACCTTCTATGAGCTGGGTGATGAAGCCATGGACCAGTTCCGGGAGGATGAAGGGTTCATCAAGGATCCTGAGACCCTCTTACCAACCAATGACTTTCACAGGCAGTTCTGGCTGCTCTTTGAGTACCCCGAGAGCTCCAGTGCAGCCAGAGGCGTAGCTTTGGTCTCCGTCCTGGTCATTGTCATCTCCATCATCATCTTCTGCATGGAGACCCTGCCGGAGTTCCGTGAGGAGAGGGAGTTCAGGTCCACCCAGGAGCTTTCTAGGAATGTGACAGACACCTTGGTGTCCCACAGCACCTTCACGGACCCTTTCTTCGTCATAGAGACTGCCTGCATCGTCTGGTTCTCCTTTGAGCTCTTTGTCCGGTTCATTGTGTGCCCCAGCAAGACCGAGTTCTTCAGGAACATCATGAACATCATCGACATCGTGTCCATCATCCCCTACTTTGTGACGCTCACCACTGAGCTGATCCAGCAGAGCGAACTCAACGGGCAGCAGAACATGTCCCTGGCCATCCTGCGCATCATCCGCCTCGTCAGGGTCTTCCGCATCTTCAAGCTCTCCCGGCACTCCAAGGGGCTGCAGATCCTGGGCCAGACCCTCAAGGCCAGCATGAGGGAGCTGGGCTTGCTCATCTTCTTCCTCTTCATCGGCGTCATCCTCTTCTCCAGCGCCGTTTACTTCGCGGAAGCCGACGACCCCAGCTCGGGGTTCAGTAGCATCCCTGACGCCTTCTGGTGGGCCGTGGTCACCATGACCACCGTGGGCTACGGGGACATGCACCCCATCACCATTGGGGGCAAGATCGTGGGGTCTCTGTGCGCCATCGCGGGCGTGCTGACCATCGCCCTGCCCGTGCCCGTCATCGTCTCCAACTTCAATTATTTCTACCACCGGGAGACGGAGGGTGAGGAACAAGCCCAGTACATGCACGTCGGGAGCTGCCAGCACCTCTCGTCCAGCGAGGAGATGAAGAAGGCTCGCAGCAATTCCACCCTCAGCAAGTCTGAGTACATGGTGATTGAGGAAGGGGGGATCAACCACAGTGCATTCAAACAGGCTGCCTTTAAAGCAGGCAACTGCACAACCACAAACAATCCCAACTGTGTGAACATCAAAAAGATCTTTACGGATGTTTAAAACGAACCCAAAGCAAACGAACAGCAGCAAAATCTGAGGATGCAGAGAAAGAATACCAATAATAATAATACCAATAATAATGCAAAGTGACTGTGTGTCGGTGTTGTGTGGAACATGCACCATCGTCGGTCCTGTGTGTGCCCTCGTTTTTATACCTTTATTTTTTTAGATCCTTCCTTTCTAAAGATCCAAAAGTAAAAGGATTTAAAATTCTCTGAAGAAGAGGACAGCTAAAGGGTAAAGAGAAGGAAGATGAAGACAAGCCACACTCACTGTCAAAACAGGTGTTTGCTCTGCAACGTGTTGCAGGGCTGCTTTGCTTTTTGGGCTTTTGGGGAACCTCTTGCTTTGCTCCTGAATTTCCCCCTCTTTCCCTAAGGGCAGTGTGCAGCCAATCTCCCTTCCATCACATAAGATAACTTGTTGGATTAACAAACTCGGACTGGGTGGAGGAAGGAGGAAAACATGAGGCAGAGTGTACTGGGAGGGGGCTGGGAGGAAATAACCATTTAATTCTGCAGAGAGTCTCTGTTACCACATCGTTAAATGATGCTTAATATTGAAACATGTGATGTGCCATTACGGGCACATCCCAGATTTCCTTTTTCTCCCCATTAGATCACATATGAAATTCTAATCTGGTCAGAGACCGAGTGCAATCAATGCTGATTTAAATACAAAAAAAAAACCTCCCTAAGCCTTCATTTTCTATTCTGGATTCCCTTCCCCTGTAACCTGATGGAATTATTTCCTCCAATGTCAAGTCTGTGGCCGTGCAGCGGGGATGTGTGCGGGAGGAGGGACAGGACAGGCAGACTGGAATGTTTTCAGGAGTGATGTCGGCACGGAGCGGGATCCACGACGGGCTCCTCGCCGTGCCTGGGAGCCTCCAACCCGCCCAGCCGGAGACAAAGGGATATTTCCCCCTCGTTTTGCGATGCCTTTGGAGGAGCTGCAGCCGCTTATCACCAGAAGATTAAAGTGGCGAACACGCCTTCCAGCGGAAGTCACTAATTCCGACCGGAGTGATGCAGTTGCCATGGTGACCATGGTTTCCTGGGAAACCCCCAAAGGTTGTCATGGCATCCCTTCTCCCATCCCCCTTGGTCCTTGCTCTTCCCGCAAAAAGCCTTTCCAGATGGTTCCAGCTCCTCCATCCCACAAGACGTCGTGGCTCTGCACCCCCTTCCTGGTTCCTGTCCTGCTGCTCCTCCCGTGTGCCCAACAAAGCACCCACAGGCAGCAATCACCCCCAGATCCACCTGTGCCCCACCTGGGCAGTGCAGTCTGGGCATGGAGGTTCATCCTGTTCCACCAAGAACCACCCCAAACCCAGTGGGAGCTGGCACCGAGCAAGCCTGGCCAGGGAGGAACCTTGGCAGCTTTGTGAAACAAGGGGGACAGTAAAAAAATCAGGATTGAAAAATAACCAAAAATCCCTCTGGGAAAAAAAATCACCGGCTTCATCTTCACGTGTATGCCAGGGGCCATGGGACATCTGACGGGATCAGGTGAGCTCTGCACGGGGGTGACATCAATGGAGTCATAGTGCTGGGTTTTTTTGGACAAACCCCATGCTTTTCACTGCTTACTTTTATTCTCCAGCTTTTCCTGCCGCTCTCGGGTATTTTTATACACGTTAGATAAAGTGGGATCACATCCTAGAGCTCCTCTGATTGTATTTGCTTTTTAGTTCTGTGGGAGGAGGAAAACCCTGCTGCTTCTCTGCAGCTGGATTGCTTCATTTCTGTGCTAAAAAGGTGATTTCAGTGGTGTAATGCTCCCATCCAGCCCCTGCCACTGACACAGGCCAAAAGCAGCTTGGCCTCAAGAGCTTTGGCTCCAGCTTTGCTCAGTTTTGCTGGATTTCGGGTTAAAAAAAAGCCAAATTCCTCTGAGGTAGCACATGGAACAGGCAGGCTGTTAAATACCTACAGCAAATAGAAATTTGGCCTCAGTCTGTGAAGTCCCAAGGCTGTGGAGAGGGGGCCTTGTCCTGAGGGATGCTGGCCATGCCAAAATTGCAGTTTAGCTGGGATTTTTCCCAGACTCCGAAGGATCTAGATGGTTTGCAGCACCCTCCCTTAGCCACAGTCAGTGAATTCAGGGAAAATTCAGAGCCCTTCCTTGGCTGCTGGGGTGTGATGGTTTTATTGGGGCTACCAGAGTTTTCATGAGCTGAGGGTCCAAGATTTGATCTTTTTTAGGGAGATGCTCTGGAACATCAGGGGAAGTTACAAACCTGAGATTCCTTGTCCAGAGTAACTGGGATTCCTTGTNGTGCTGACCATCGCCCTGCCCGTGCCCGTCATCGTCTCCAACTTCAATTATTTCTACCATCGGGAGACGGAGAACGAGGAGAAGCAGATGCTGCCCGGGGAGGTGGAGCGGCTGCTGGCCAGCGTGGCCACGGGCAACGGCAGCATGGAGTCACTCAATAAGACCAATGGGGGTTACCCTCGAGACAAGGCCAAAAAATGATGCTTGAGGCCCTGAGGGACTGGGCACAGTCAAGTGGGATTGGCTGGAAAATGCATCCAACATCTGCATGCTCTGATTTTATTTTTTTTTTTAAATTATGTGCTGCTGCTTTTTTTTTTTTTTTAGACATTTTTCAATCTCTGATTTCCTGTGGCTGTTCAAATAAATACCATCTTTCTTATCTCTCTGCCCTGCCCATCGGTCTGGTGTGTTTTATTTGGTGCTCATCTGCTTGACATTTGTCTTCTCTCTTCTTCCACGCTCCCCAGCATCAGAGTGGAATTCCCCCACATACAGAGACTTCCCCATTTACTGGAGAGGAAAAAGGGCAAAATGACATGAAATGCTTGGCTTGGTGACACCCAGCTGCCCAGGGATGAAGGTGGGTCCGGCTCCCTGCTTTACTTATGAAAATAGCTTTAAATATTTTAAATAGTTCTTCCCTGCCCACCACTTCATATCTGGGGGTCTGGCAAATTCCCCAAGGCCTGTGACAGCAAAAATAAGCTGGCAAAAAGAAATGAGAAGGGATATTTTTAGCTGGATGAGTTCCCTGGCCTGCCTGACTCATTAATTCTGATGGCACAGCAGGGTGGGCAGTCACAGATGGACCCAAGGCAGCAGGAGGGGATTTGGGGTTGCTGACCAGACACGGGGGCACAGCCACCCCAAAGGTCCAGGGCAGTGCAGCTCAAAGCCCACAGGGGTTTCTGCTGGAAAACTGAGCTCTGAGAGAGGGAATGGGATTTCTCCTGCAATAAATGCTCATTATCTGGTTTACAAACAACCCTGGGGATGAGCCACTGTGACCTTGTAGCTTTTATTGTCACTTCTGGTGCTGCAAAGGGGGCAGAGAGCAACGAGAGCCAACATTTCCTGACAGCTCCGCTCCCTGTTGTAACAAGGCACTTCTGCTTTCCTAAAAATGCAAATTTCCAGTGGCACTTTGGATGGGAGCAGCCAGCAACAGCTCATTTTGCCATTCTCTCCAATGCTAGCAGTTTTTCTGACAAAAACATTTTGTTCCCACTTCACTGTTTCACTTGATTTTCTTTTTTTTTAAATGTTCCTGCCTCCATTGAAATCCCAGCTTCTCGTGCAGTGTCTCATCCACTCTGATGTCCCACACCTGCTGCACAGATGTCTCATCTCCTGGCAGATCCCCCTGATCATCACACAGCCTGCCAGCATTTCTGGTTTGCAATTTCATTCAGAAAGCAGCGGTGGAACAGGGGTTGGATTTATTGCTCCTGCTCTGTTGGAAATTGTGGCTTTGGGCTCGCTGTGATTTTCCCTCTAGCAGAAATCCCGCAGCCCGGGTGGGAGGAGTTTTTATTTTGGTTTTAGGGGTTCTGTGCCCTGTCTTTCTGCAATGAGGTGTTTTGCACCCCAGGAGATGGATCTGAGACATGACCACTACAATCCCTTTTCCCTCTGGGACAAATCCCATTTACCACCTGCTCTCCCTGTTGTTTTTTCCCCATCCCTCCACCATCCCCTTCCCCTCCCTTGCAGCCCTCACATCATCATTTCAGACAGGAGGAGCTGTCAGAGCTATTTAATCTCCTTCCCACTGCGTCCAAGTTCTGTGGGGACGCTTGGAGAATGCACAGCTGGGCACAGCTGGAGGAGCCACAGCAGGGAACAGCTGGGAACAGCACTCAAACATTCCCAGCTCCTCTCTTTTCACCCCTCAATTCTCTCCAGCAGCTCTTTCACATCACTACTTTTATTTCATAACAAGTTCTTTCTCCTTTCCTTCTATAAACTTGATTTTTTCCATTCTTTTGTATTTTTATTGCTCCCCTCCCCAAATTCTCTCCCAGCCTCTCTAACCTGAAGCACTTTTGGTGTTTTTTCCTTGGGAAATCACCATGAAAAACTCTGATGAGAAGGTTTGGGCTGGGAAATATTCAGCCTGATCAGCCACGAGCACATTTCCATTCCTCCTGCAAACTTGGACTGTAATGGTGCTGGGATGGATGGATGGATGGATGGATGGATGGATGGATGGATGGATGGATGGACAACCTGATTCTAATAAACTTGTAAACTATCCTCAAATAAAAGAATAAATGCTTCAAAATCTGGTATGCAAAAAATATTGTTTCTTTGGACTCAACTTTTTTGTTCCTGGCTTTGTGCTGCTCCATGGCAATGCAATTCCAGCTGGGAATTGTGTGTGGGAGGGTTGGGACATGGGGCAATATCAAATCCCAGAATGGTTTGTGTTGGAAGGGATTTTGGAGCTCACCTCATTCCACAAGGCAGGGACACCTTCCACTGTCCTGGGTTGCTCTGAGCCCTGTCCAGCCTGGCTTTGGGCAATCCAGGGAAAGGGCAGCCGCAGCTGCTCTGGAAAGCAGAAAATTGCAGATTTCCAGCTCTGTGAGATGAGGACAAACCCTACACATTGGGTCACACCATCCATTGTGGGAGATCAGGTCCAAGGGGGTCCCTGATTGATGCCATGAAAAGGGGATCAGAGGCATTAAACCCAGACACACCAACCTATTTCCAGTTTGCCCCAAAGAGGAGGAAAACCAGGCTATGAACTCCCATTGCCAACACTACTAAAAACCTGCAGGAAATCCCATTTTCCTGCACAATTTGCAACTTTGTCCCTTCCCAAACACAGGCCCAAAGCTCAAAGCCCAACAAAATCCCTACAAAGCCTTCAGTACCTGTCCTGTTCCAGAGCCAAGCCCTGATGAGCCAATCTGGCATGTCCTTCTGCACAGAGGTTGAATTCCCTCTTCAAGGTTTTTACTGCCTCAGGAAAAGCTAAAAGTAGACAAGAACCCCCTTTGCTCTATCAGAAAGGTGTCCTGGCCATGTTTTATCCCTGGAGCAATACAAAACCTGTGGCCAGGTGTGAAATATTTGCAGGTAGGAGTGACTCCCTCCTTTGAGCTGAAATTCCCGAGAATTCCTGAATGGTTTGGGTTGGAAGGGACCTCAAAGCTCACCCTGCCATGAGCAGGGACACCTTCCACTATCCCAGGTTTCTCCAAGCCCTGTCCAACCTGGCCTTGGGCACTTCCAGGGATGGAGCATCCAGGATTTCAGGGTTGGCACCAGAGCCACGAGATGGCACTCCAGGATCGGCAGTCCCAGCTCGCTCCCCGCTCTGCAATCCGAGCTTGGAAGCTTTTCCTTGGTTTATCCCTTTATTGGAATGCAAACGCGGCTGGGAAGGACTGTCCCGGCCAGGGGGATGCTCCCGTGGGGGAATCCCTTTATGGGGAATTTTCAGCAGGAGGAGGATTTAGGAACTGTTGGATTTAGAGATGGCATTGAGGCCAGGTTGGTCCTGCCTGGAATTAGGACCAACATCCCACTCCCACCACTCTGAAAAGGCAGGTCCAGCCCTGGTTGCTCCTCCAGATCTTGTCCATCCTGGCAAGAGTAACAGTTCCCCCTGCACCTGCCTCATTTATTCTTGGTCATGGTGGTGCCTTGTGCAGGCTGAGCTAGAACAGAGACCAGACAGAGCTAAAGAATGAAGCCGGGAGTAAATAAATTATATAAAAATAGAAATGAAAAATAAGGGGGATAAAACAGGGGTTTAAAAAAGGGAATAAATTTGGAGGCCTCAATGGATCCACCTTGGGCAGCACAAGAGCCCAGCCCAGGTGAACCCAAAATGGTCAAAAAATGCATGACAGATCATAGGGTCTCTCACTTTTATCAGTTCTGCTCCATTTGCATAGTGGAGTTAATTGTCCAATTACAGCTTTAGCCCATGCAGTCCCATCCTTGTTTTTCTCTCTTCAGCTCACGTTGTTTCTGCTCTTGGTGCTGAGATTTGGATCATTTGTCCTTGGTCCCCAGCTGGAGCAGGAATTGTTTTATCTCCCTGCTCTGTGCACAGAGCTCAGCATCCCCTAGCATGAAGCCCAGACCCACACACTAAAGCAGCACAGAATCTGAAAAATATATAAGCCAAACCTGAGTCATCAATAGTAATGAGAAAATTCCTGTGACAGAGCTGAGGGCAAGTCCCACATGCCCAAAATCCAGGGCTGGATCACTCTAATTCTTGGACACAAGGGATTCCCACTAGCTGGGTTGGGAATCCCAGGGATTTGGGATTCCAGAGATGTGGCAGTAAATCCCACTCCCATCATCCTACATCACATCGTCCTCTACAGCCAGCTCAGTTCTTACACAGTGCAAGAAGACAATAATTGATTTCTGACCCAAATCACCTGGATCTCCCCCTCCACATCCCTGCTCCTGCTGGGGATGGAATCTCCAGGCCCCACCAGGGGTGGAGCCTCCTTTACCAACAAATAAAGGCAGCAGTCCCTTGTCCCTCGGCACTGCAGAAATGAAGACACAGCAGGGACCTGGATCTCTCTCCTGGCTTCTTGCTGAGCAATTCCACTTGGGCCTGTCTGCAAGTAGAGGGTGTTGTTCCATCAAAAGGGGATTACTTTCATCTGGCTACACCATTTTTTTTCCAGTTGTTCAGTAACTGAGGTATCTCAAAGCTTGCTTTCATTTCAATCTCAAGCTTATAGTTTCTATATTCTCAAAATCTTTTGCCAGACAATCATATTTATAATTTATATATCCTGTTTCATCATCCCCAACATTCCAGAATCCCCCACTTGTTGTAGCCCCACTAAAAGAGCCAACCTTAGCTTCCACCCCTCAGCCCTGCAGCAATCACAGCTCCCAGGGGCCCTCAGCAGAGCTTTGATGAACAAATGATCCTTGGCCACCACAAAGCAGCTCCTCCTGCCTCCTGCCATTCCATCAGAAATACACACAGAGCCATCAGCTCATAACCACAACTTTTTATTTGTGCCAAAAGCCTTGCTTGGGGCTGGGTGTGCACAAACCCCAGCAGCTCTCCCATTGTGGTGGATCTAAACAGCCTTGGCCAGCCCAACGCGGTTGTTGGCCCGGTCAAAGATGCTGTAGTACACCCTGATGAAGACATCTCCCAAGATCCAGAGGTCCCCAGAGGTGTCCTGGAAGCTGCTCATGCAAGATCCTTCACTGTGCTGCATTTGAGCACGAGAAGGAAATTGGGGAAATGTGGGAAATCTCTTCTTGCCTTGCCCTGGGGGCCCTTGGCCATCCATCTCCCAAGGGAATGGGAGAAGCCAAGGTGATCTCTCCAGTGAGAAATCAGAAGGACCAGACCAAGGTTCTTCTGATCTCTCACTAGAGAGAACTGAAGGACCTTGAGAGGGGCTCCTGCAGCCAGGAGCAGCCAGCCCCCACTTACCTGCTCGGTGTAGGCCAAGGCTGACACGGGGTACTGGACTCCATCGATGACAAAGATGACATCAGGCATGGCAGGGATGGAGCTGCAGTTCACACTGTGCTGCAGGGAGCAGAGGGGAGGGCTCTCAGCTGGGAAATGTGATCAGAATGTGAGGAGTGAGAGGAGACCTCACTGGGGCCTTCAACCTCCTCCTGAGGGACAGCAGAGGGACAGCTCCAACCTCTGTGACAGGGACAGGA